ATAATTCTTAATGCTTTACCCTGATTGCCGGTAAGAATATTATTGTAATATGATTCTATTCTATTAAGAACGGTTTTTTGTTTTTCGTTTAGGCTTGAATATTCTATTAAATCATCATGTTCTCTTCTATTTTATTTATACAGTTACTTAAAGCTTGATGGATGAAGTTGCGTGCATATGCTAGATTGATATTAGAATAATCATGTTGAGTATTATTGATCCAGTCGTGATTCTGATCCATATCACGAGATCCCAGATCAGACGAACGTTCTATATGCACATTTGGACCCATCTCCGCAAGATGCATCCAATCATAACGGAATTTCTCTTCTTCATCTTTGAGCACTTCATCATCGCTTTCTTCATCACTGATCTCATCTTCATTATCTACAGGTTTTCTGAGTAAGTCATTTGGATCATTATTGATAGTGTCAAAGTGTTGATTGTAAAGCGTGAGCTAAGAGATGCTGTTGTTTCCTATTAATTGTTGGAGACTTCGATGCTGAACATGAAGGAGAATCTTCATATGACAGAAATCCTCCCACTGCTGACCATCATATAAAGATGATGAACAAGGCCATATTCGTATGATGTTTTCAGATTTGCATTTTTTCCAATGTCTGTTATCATATTTGTGAGTTAAGTTTAACTTGAATAATGAAAATTCTTCGAAGTCTGCAGGTCTATTCCAATATTTTGCTAATGGTGATTTTGTCGTATGCCTTGCATCATCAATTGTGCTGAAGTCTTCTTCATCATCTCTGCTACTAGTTTCTCGAATCCATCTAGCTGATTCTTCATTAAGGTTTAAAGAAACAAATGCTTGGCTGCTATGATAAATTGGAATGTTGAGAAGAAGGTGAGATGTCTCTTATGCAAATATGTCTCTTTCTGCAATGCTGTTAATTAAAAACTTCTGAATTGATGCAAATGAAGAATCATTCGTGTTACTATTGTCAAGAATCTGATTGAAAATTTCTGAAAATGCAATTGATTTTGGTTTTGATTCATTTGCATATTTAGAGATGTACTGCAAGACTGCATGAATGCTGAGTACTGGTTTAAGATCTACATTTGTGCGTCATTCTTGCAATTGTAGCCTGTTGTGAGGATTGATATAGGAATTATTTCTCTTTATAATCAGTTCTGGCTGCCCATGATGATCTTCACATATGACAGTATTATCAATGATGTCTTTGGGATATCCAAATCTGCAAGATTGTTGACCTTTCTTAATATGTATACAATATGAGGGACTACATCAGGTATGACGTTATAATTTGTTAATTAACCGAATATAATCCTGAGAGCTATCATCTATTTCTTCATTAACTTTCTGGCAAGAATGTTTTTCAGGTATAGCAGTGTTAATCCCTGGATTAATCGTGGTAAATATCGAATCAATGTATTTTATTACATCATTCATTACAGTCTCATCTTCTTTCATTTGATTCCAATCAATTTTAGGTGCATTTCGTTTCTTTCCAATCCCATGCACATGAATACTTCCCCTATGTTGCCACTCAAAATGATACTAATAATCTTCCAAGTCCCATTTTGGTTGCAATACATCATGAAAGAAATTCTCAAATCTTCTATTAAAAAACCATGTTGCTATATGCGAATTGTCGATAATGTTCTGTTAACGAACTTTAGTTAAATCAGTTTCTTCATCAGAGTTTTCGAAATTTGGCATTAGATTATGCAACTCCGGCCAGTAGAAATCGGCTGCACTAAAGGTAAAAAATAATAGACCTTAGTGGCTTATTTGTTTTATCAAATCTGACAATTCGTACTGTCTCGCCATCCAAAATTGTCTTGATCCATGTAATCCTTCGCCATATCTCATTATATGGTCTGCTAGGTGTTTATCCCCATTAGCAATCATATCCTGAATATCTGAGACATCTATTTGTTCGTTTTTCAAATTCTGCTTAACGTAAACTCTTCCTTCTTGCAATGCTCTTTACCTCATTGTAGAGTTCAATGCAAAATACCTCCAATTCGTTCATTACAAACAGGACAATTATTATACTGAATATTGTCCATTTTCTTGCAAAATTTATCTAAAATACAAAGATCCTCCTCATCAATGGTTGCTATGTTATCATTCTCTTGTTCTAATTCGTTATGATTTAGTTCTATTCTATTTTGTTGCAATTGACGAGCAGCACACTTACGTTCATTTTCACGAGCAAGACACTTGTCACATTGTTCAGTGGTCTCAACTTGCTTTTTCTGCTGTCTTCCTTCACGAATACTTGTAAGTCACAATTCATGATTATCTTTTATTTTTACTGCTCTTTTTTGACATTTTTGATCACGCTCACGTGTAAGTCTTTCTTCCTATTATGTAAGATTTTCATTCATTTTTTGATTTCGCTTTCAAAGTATCTCAGAATTAACGGTATGATTCATTTCGATTATATGATGAAAATTTAGTAATGAATTTTATATGATAAGTTATATTTTTTTAATAAAATTTTATTTATTTTTTAATGTAAATTATTCAAGCAATATAAACATAGAAATCCAAAAAATTAAAAAAGAACAATTTAGGGCTGGAAACAATCAGATCATTTTAATGTTGATAAATTTATTTTAATTTTTAATAATAAAATTAACTATGATTTTGGTCATGTTACAAATAATTTTACTTTTTACTAAATTTTATTATATATTAATTAAAAATTAATTAAAAAAAAATAATTGTTGCAATTTGCGTTCTTCGAGATCATTAGTTAAACATTTTAGCATTAATTTTAGCTATTTTATTATTAATTAGTATATGCTATTAAAAATTACCTTAAGGATCATAGTAAATCATATGATCCGTAAGGTGATTTTAATAGCCGATCATATTATAATTACATTAGGGAAGTGTATGTCATGGGTGAGATGTAGTCATGTGTTGGGAATGTGCTGGGAATAAAACAATGATGAGTTATAGGGTAGGTTAATATTCGCTTCGGACTTCACAACGGTTCCCATTTCTTAGTTAGTATAATTGATCAATTAAAAAAAAAATTAATATTAAATATAAAATATATATATATTTTTTTTATAGACTTACTTCCAAACGATCTAAGTCTTGAAGAATCCGGTAACTACAAGTAGGTAAAGTGATTTAATTGTTTAATTGATTGATAAAAAAATAAAAAATAAAAAAATAAAAAATATGTTTTTTTTAGGACTTATCTCTGAATGATCTAATGCTTGAAGAATCTGGTAGCTACAAGAAGGTAAAGTAATTTAATTGTTTTAAAAAAAAAAAATAAAAAAATATAAAAAAATATCATAGGACTTACTTCCGAACGATCAATGCTTAAAGAATTTGGTAGCTACAAAAGGTAAGTAATTTTAGTTGTTAGTTACATTGATTGATTTAAAAAATAAATTAAAAAATTTTTTTTTCACATCAAATTTTCAACGGATCCTATTATTTTATAAAATAGTCATGTGATGTGCATTTAGAGATTGGATTGTCATATCAAAGGACCAAAAAATTTCTTGCACATGTAGAATTTGAAAGATGCATTTAGCCTCTAAGTCCTAAGCTTGGGATCAGAACATTGTGTGCATTTAAAGAGGGTGTGCATTTATAGAGGATGCATTTAGAGAGGTCTGACTGTATATCGTTTAATCGATAATAATTAATTTCTACATCAGTAATAAATTTATTAGTTTAGGCGTAGTGAAAAGAATTCAAGTGGATAAACTCCTGCATAATTATATATTGATTGAACTTTAATTGTGTTTAATATGACAATATATATCATTTAATCGCTAATAATAAATTTCTATATTTGGTAATAAATTTTATTAGGATGAAGCAAAAGACTATGTACTTTTATATATAAATTAATACATTTGTAATGCATTTATACATGCAATGAAAATAATATGGTTTTTAGTTTCATATAATTAATTCTACATATGATTCATTTAAAAAATCTCTACTGCATAATTATTATATTAATTGGATGATCGTAATAATTTATTAGTATTATGCATAAATTTAAATTTACAATTAAATATAGATATATAAAATTCATTTTATTAAGTTATATATAATCACGTCTTTTAAAAAAAATAAAATAAAAAAATAATATATATCTGTCTCTTAAAATAAAAATAAAAATAAAAATATAATAAAGTTTAATATCAATCAAAGTTTCTATTTGCATTCATTTTTCTTTTCTTTTTTTTTGATCACTACTATTATCAAAAGAATTTGTATTTTTACATTTTGAAAGGTTTTTGAGAATAAATTATTATGAGTAAAAAATACTAACGAATGTCTAATACCAGAATACAGAAGGTTCCTATGCACCAGTAAGTTTAATCTAAATGCCAAAATATTTCCAGGTTTTAATTTTACCTGTACTTTCATTTGTGAAAATATTACATCTCTTTCCTCTCACTCCCCTAAAGGTACAAGCCAACAAAACCCATATTTATTATCATAACGGTTTATATGATACTCACAAAGGGTATTAAATAAAGATAGTTCCCATAATTATTTTTAAAATTTTTATCTAGTTGCAACTTAAGTTGCAACACTTTGAATTACAACTATTTATTAATTTTTATATTAAAATAAATTTACAAGGAGTTGCAAACAAGTTGCAACTCAAGTTGCAACATACTGAGTTGCAACTTCTTAATTATGATGTCTATCTTTAGTATTAAAATTTATTGCATACATTCCAATACCTTGAATATTCTTTTTACCTACATTATAATAAAAATAAGTATTGACAAGATACAGTTTATAAAAAATAATATTTTTTAAATAATTTACCTGAAAAAATAAAGATTGCTTATATTATTAAATATGGATGGATAATAAAATGCCATTATATCTGAAATATGATCTGCCAATTCATTGACATCATATAGCATTTTGTCGATATAACTATCAATTATTGAAATATATATATTAAAAATAAAAGTATTTAAAATAATTATAAACAATAATAAAAATTTAATTACTTATCATGAATGATCCTCAATATAGTTATTCTTATTTTTACAGATGAAATCCAAGGATTGATATATCAACTTATTATTATTTCTGTAAATGCTGAAATATTACGTAAATGATTGTGTAGTTTCCAATGATAATATTGCTGCTGATATTAGTGCTGCTGCTGCTACTGCTTATGATGATAATGATGATAATAACATTGATTTTGGCTCTGCTGGTATGAACGCTGCTACTACTGCTGATGATAATGATGATGATAATGCTACTGGTATTGGCGTTGCTGCTAATGATAACAACAATGATGATGGCACTGATGACGATGATGATAGTATTATTGCTGATGATCTTTTTGCTAATTAAATAATAAAGTAGTAAATTAATTAAATGCTTAAACATATAATACAAAATTAATAACATTAATACTTTTTTTTAATAATATATCTGAAGGTTTATAATTAAGCTCTTTAAATTTTGAAGGAGCATAAATTTGATCATTATGAATATGAGTCCAATAAGATTGAACTGCACTATCTGCATATAGGCCAAAAGGGGGATTCTGGGACAGATTTCGAAATAGTACTCAGAAAAGATTCCTGCCCGCCCACGAACCAATTTTAGCTATATGAATCAATTATCAAATTCAAACTTCTAACGCATTTTGACTCAATTCTAGATGATGA